TCACCTCAATGCCAATCACATAACACATATTTTGGGGTTTCATACCCTCAGCACTAAGATTAGAAGAGTTACTTACCTCGAACAAGCCAATTCCAACACCGAGCAAGCCAAGCGATGCCCCAAAATGCCATCCCACACGTTCCGACCTCCGAACGGCTCGAAACTAACCAAAAACAACTCAAATACATCAAACAATGCTAAAGGAACCAATCCCGATCGAAAAAGATCAAATCTTGAATCAAAAAGCCCAAAATCGTCCAAAAGCCCAACCCGGGCTCGCACCTCGGAACCCGAAAAATTTACAAAAATCCAACAACCCATTCAATTACGAGTCCAACCATACTACACTTGGGATCACATTCAAAGGATAGGTAAAGAGCACACAACTCAAGTATGCAGCAACCCAGAAATATAGATGCTTCTCCTTTGGCAGACTAATTATGAGTTAATTATCTTAGGTATTGCCACTAGTACATGTACAGACTGACTAGACTACTTGGAATTCTTAGAAGCATCAACAAGGATTCAAAGGACTAAACTCCTTAACAGGATAACTCTCATAAAAGTATTAATCTTGAACAAACCACTATCTTCAAACAGTAGCAATAGAGAACCTCTCATAGGATACAAAATCAGATTCAGTTTCGGAATAACAGGAAAGAAAGGACCGAGCACAATTTCAAAATAAAAGCATGGAGTCATGAAGCCAAACAGGGGAACATACAATATTTAAAATCAACTACACACAGATAATTTGGTGGTCTTACAAAGACATGGTAGGTTTCACAAAATCAAAAGTGTCATAAAGGAAAATTAAGATAGAAAAGGTGTTGTACCAAACAGATTTAACTCAACCATGTAACTGAGAGTTATATCTAAACATGAGGCAACTATGTTTAGCTCAACAACAGTTATCAGTCAACTATAACAAACATGATTATGACTTATTTTTTATGAAAAAGGATGACTTAATCTCAGTAGAATGTATACAACAGAGTTATTGATATTCATGAAAAAAAAAGTTTTACTCGACAAGACTGTTTCATACAGATTCAACCAACAATTATTTATGAACATGAGAATGTCATAGTGATAACCCAGAAGTTGCCCTCAGAGTTAGCAGATATAGGTATAGAGAAGGAGAGCACTTAAACAATTTGACTTTTCATGCTTGAGTTAAGTAGTGAAGGATTAAACGATGAACTTTCAAGTTTTGTCCTAATTAGGATTATCAAACAATAATCTCGACCACAAGGATGCAGGAAAACAGTGTATAGAGATAAAGATCACAATAAAACTATTGACAGAAAATCTAAAGTTTAGACAAGCATGGAAGTCATTAAGGCACATTAAGGGAACTTAATCATGCAGACTATTAGGATGTAGAAAGGAGAGTCATTAAAGACATATAACATGCTAGTCGATATCAATTTGAAGATATTCAGAAATATGACAAAGGATCGTAGATCAACAATACCTTATCATGAACATGGAGATAACATTTTTTATGTTATTGATAACATCACAACGACTACAATTAAGAGAAGACAACAGGCATATTCATAATATTCTAATAAAATGATCAAAAAGAGAAGAGTTAGAGGTGTACTGACCTTGTCGAGGGCAGCAGACCAAATGGGACTCGTTTAGCCGTTAGCATCCAAGAACTCAAAGACTTCAACCAAATGAGTACCTCATAGCAAAATCAAAATTAGAGTGAGAACTTAGCCTTAGTCGAACAAATTCTAAATTACTATATTTATTTTCTGTCTTTTTAAGGTGTTCCTAGTGTTTTTCTTTAGTTGTTGGTGATGGTAGATGAGAATATTAAAGGCCCTATGTATAGTGCCATTTAAGTCTCCAGGGTTTAAAAGGATTCAAGATGATAGTGGAAAGTGATGATGCTCAGATGATACAAGCAAATCGAGTGAAAATTGAAGACATCGGNAGTCAAAGCTCCAATGTCCTGAGGTCATTGCATTTGACCTCTAGAATTTGAATAACCATGATGAAGCTCTGAAATGTCCTCATGCATGTTCCGATTTAACAGAGCACGAAGGAAATTCAGAGATTTGAACTTGCATCTTTGAGTCTAGGGTTTCAGATTAAGGGTTTTGAATTTTATCAACGAAAATGGAAACTGAATTCACTAGCCTCACAACCTAGGGACAAAGTAGACGAATCTGTAAGTTGGATTTGAAAGAACGAAGAAGAAATCACTCCAGCGGTATTTTGAGCTTAGGGTTTCAGATTTAGGTATTTCAAATTTGTGATTGAAAGAGGGAATTAGTAGCGGGATTCAAGGATAGAGAGATAGAAGAGATGATTCAGAGTGATTTCGGATTTTGGAGACTGATGGCTGATGGAGATGAGAGAGGAAAGGGAAATGAGGGCGCCGGTCAAAGGGGTAAATTATTTATGGTTTAGGGTAATGGGAAGGCCATCTCTAGGTTTAAGGATGTGCGATGGAATTTGGGCCGTTGGATCTGATGATCAACAGCTCTGATAATTTGGTAATTTTGAATTTTTGGTGTCCGCTAGATTATAAGATTTGGACAGCGAAGATGAGATCTCTAGGGCGGGTTTTTAAAAATCAAAAGGAAATTGGATATTAAATGTGAGACATTGATCAGATGGACCAACGGTTTAGATGCATGTGTGTTTGTTTTGTGAGTGATAAGGAAGGTTGACATGGAGCGAGCTCATTGGCTCAATGAAGGTGGCCTGGATTGCCACGTTGGAATGGAGATGGGGTATTTAGACTGGGTCATATTCGTTTGGGCTTGGCATTTGCGCTGTAAAAAATTTAAATGGTAGCCACTTTGTAATTAATTAGGGAACTGCAATTGCAGCCTTTTAGCCACTTTTCCCTTGGTTCGGTATCCCTGATAGTCAGTATCTTGATCACATTTCCTTCACAACACTCTTCAATCATATTCACAAACAACTTTTCCATCCCGTCGATGATATCATCTTGGATCTATATGGCAACTACATTCCCATGTTATGTTCATTTTCTTCCATTTCAGTAGTCTGCATGATTTCTATTGCGTGGAAAGCAACTCCCTCGCCCTTCAATGAATGGAACAACATGCTCCAAATAAGCGGAGTGACCCCACTCGCCGTGAACCACGATCTCCACGCATCCCCACTCAAATTCCATGCATTGGTGTGAATTGGATGGGACGGCCCCTGTCTTATGTATTTAGGGCCTTCCTAGTAGGGAATAGGAGATGTCCATTACTTAAAACAATATGGAAAATTTGACCGGCCCAATCTGCAAGGCCAAATAAACTTCTCCAGTAACATCCTTCTGCGAACCATCAAAGGCCCTTACTTTTACGTGGCTTTCCTTGACATCCCTTAAATGAATTCCTAACTCCCGTAGGGTAGAGAGCAGACAAATGTTGTATCCTGATCCTCCATAGACCAACACTCGGGACACCACTTTGTCCCCACATTTAACAGTGATATGAAGAGCTTTATTGTGACTTGCGCCCTCGACAGGAAGTTCGTCTCTTCTGAAGGTGATCATATTTGCTTCGACCATTTTCCCAATTGACGCAGCCAATGCCTCACTAGTGGTGTTACTTGGTACACTTACCCCACTAAGCACTTTTAATAGGGCGTCCTTATGACTGTCGAAACTCATTAACAGATCCATGAATGATATATGTGCTGGAGTTTTCTTCAGCTGTTGCTCCACAAAATACTCTTTGTTTGACATTCTCTTCCAAAATTCGGCTGCTTCTATGTCTGTTATGTTCCTTATTTGAATTTGCTCTCTTCCCAAGCTCCTTTAATTGACATCTTCATCAGCGTAGCATATCCTGGACCTAGTCATACCATGGGCTGCGATAGAGTTTGTCATTTTGGCCTTCCCATTTTGATGGTACGTCTATGGGACGGTTTTGTATTCCCGACTTTCTTCATCTCTTATAGCAACGATTGGTTGTCAATGATAGGTCTGAATAGTCATTATCGGACTCACTTACACTGTGATCATTGGAGCCCTTTGAGGAAGGATCCTAGCGGCTTCTACATTTCCTATAGTGACAATTGTTCCCTTCAGGTCAAACTCTTCGTCCAATGTGATCATGTTAACTCCCTAATATCGGTGATTTGGCAGCAGATTGTGATTCACCTTGGGCAGCGCCAGAGTGCATTGGATGGCTCCACTCTTGTTCACTGTTTCAATCTCATTTTTTAGCTAAAACAATCTTTAGTATCATGCCCAGACATATTGGAATGGTACACGCATCTTTTAGTTGCATCAAAATACTTGGAGGGGTATTTAGGGACCCTTTATCCTATTAGGTGTATCAATCCTGCTCTTCTCAATCTCTCAAACAATTGGGTTTGAGGCTCAACAATCGGGGTATAATTTCTTGGACCCCTCTCTTCAAAGTTGGGATGAGGGCGTGGTGCATAAGTGGGTCAATTTTGGTGAGTAGTGGTTTAGACAAAAACATATGGTCGTTGTGGCTTCGGGTTGTTATTTGCTCAAGGAGGGTTGTATTGCGGTTGAGGATGGTAATATGGCTGGGTATATAGACTGGAGCGTTAGTGGGTGGTGGTGAATGATTATTTGGGGAATATGAAGTGTTTCCGTGATGTGGGTTGGGTTGATAGTAATGGAGGACTGTTGAGACCTCCTATTTCCTCTTCTTTTCACTACTGATTGACCCATATTGGATGGCCTTGCTGGCCGCTTGTAGTGCTGCCATGGATTATATTTTACCGAATTTTATGCCCTCTTCTAAGAAATCTCCCATCTTGACCAGCTCAGGGAATTTCTGTCCCATCATTCCCATTATCTTTTCGAAGTATATCCCTTTCTGGGCTCTGATGAAATACTTGGTTAATTCACTATTGTCCAGCGGACGTTGCGCCCAGGCAGCCTCTGACCTCCACCGTCGTGCATATTCTTGGAACAACTAGGATAGTTTTTTCTTCAGGTTCACCAGTGCGAACCAATCGAGAGTTATCTCTGTATTGAATCAAAAATGATTCATGAAGTCCTCCGCCATATCTTGCCAAGTTCTCCAATTTTGCGGATCCTGTCGAGTATACCAGGTGAGTGGTTCTCCCGTCAAACTTCTTATAAATAACTTCATCCTTAGCTTCACATTCCTCCCCACTCCGACTAACATGTCACAATATGCCCTCAAATATGCGTGGGGATCACCCGTCCCGTCGAAGATATCAAACTTGGGGGGCTTATACCCTGCTGGCATATCCACATCCGGATGAATACACAAATCCTCATTGTCCAAACTTTCACTTCCTCGGGCAACTTGGAGGCTCTTCATTTTCTTTCTCAAGATTTGCAACTGCTCAGATACTAACTCTTCTTCCTTACGCCTGGCTTCCCTCTCGATTTTGGCGTATTGGACAATCTCATAAGGCACCCTGACCGTGACAAGTGCTGTAAATGTAGGTTCTGAAGTGGCATATACAAGGGGAACGTACCGCTCATGGGCGACAATATGTACCACAGGTATGTGTTGGTTAGTAGTAAAAGTGACTCCACCATGAGGAAAGGTGTGAGTTGCATTGGTAGTAATAGGCGGGTTTCTTGGTGTCTAAACATATTGTGGTACGTAGGGAGTGTGGATAAGGAGATTTGGTGGATTTGCGGGGTTTACTAGGGGTATGACTTGACTGGTAGGAGATGAAGGTGGGGTGTTGTTGTTTTGGCGTGATGTAGTAGGGAAGTGGTCAGGGATTGAATCCAAAGAAGGGTAGGAAGGTGGTTGAGGAAGCGTTGTCACGGCCAGGTGCACTAGTTCCCTAATATTCTGTACTTCCTCCCTTAGAGACTCCATTTCCTGGGCCATCCTGTCCACATGTTCATCATTCCTAGTATCTTTCTTTTCCCCTGATCGCGCCCGGGCTATCGGCTATGACCAGAGCATGTTCAGTTGGGTTTTCTACGGCTGACATCTTTCCCTTTGACCTTAGATTGTATGATGGTTCCTCCAGTTTCGGTCGACACAAACCAACTTTCTTTTTTCTTTTGGGGGTAATAATAAAGCAAAAGAAAAATAAGAAGAAAGAAAAAGAAAAAGGAACAAGAGTCAATTTCTTCATTTATGCAAGCAGGAAATCACACAAAGTAATTAATTTGTACATTAAGGCTAGCGCATTTCATAGAATTCGTGGGGGCCTCTCATTGCCGGAGGTAGGCCTAAATCACAGATATTTGACGGACATTTAGACTTGACACATTAAGATCTGAAGAAATTTGTTTTCATTGATAGTTTGGACTGATAAAAGTGGGAACAAAGATTATATCACTGTTTCATATAACAGCATGGACTTGGACAACTTTGCCCTTTTTGAAAGTAAAGAGATAACTAGGGATTAGGGTACATAGTAGGAAAGAGGGGGAAATCAACCAACTCTAATAACTATCCCCTGAGTCGTTTCCCATTTCTTCTTCTTCTTCTTCTTCTTCTGGCTCCTCTTCCGGATCCTCATCCGGGTCTTCTTTAATCACCTCCTAGTCATCGTTGAACTCTAACTCCTCCTCTAGATCTTCTTCTAGCTCTGTGCTAGACTCTATTTGGAGGAACTCAACTACTCGGTCATCGTCTTCAATAGGTGGCAACATATGATCGACGGATCCTGGGACCACTTGATGGTGCATCAAAGTTGTCACAAGGTAATGTGGCAGGATCTCATGGTAAATTTGCAAAGCAACCACTGCGTCCTCTAACCATGCTATACCCTCTCTGCTTCTCTGGGCCATTTCCTCTTCCTTGTTGATCCAGACGTAATACTCAAGAGTGCACCAAGAGTTTTGGCCCATCGGCATTATGACTAGGTAGTTCCACTCTTCTTGGAGCGTATCCTGGGGATTGGGATCTGCCCGTTGTACTCATCCTCATATAATGTTGTCGTTTTCCATAGAGGAAAATCTTGGTTCATCCCGAACTATCTGAGGACCCATAGGGGTGAGTATGGTTGAATACCTTTAAGTCCGATTAGCTCAATGAAGTATTTCTGAGGAGTCCTCAAAATTTCTCTGCCACCTAACCGGGATAGCTTCAAGTTGATCCATTCCCAACTCAGGTCTGTCAATATTTCCCTCCACTCTTGCCCGTGTGGAGAGACCCAATGTCTTATTCTTTCATTGTGGATGCGGATCATGTTGCTGACGCCCATAAAGTAGTCGATGGTGGCTTCCCGCTGAAAGAAATGTTCAGTAGCCCAGATCTAAAGCAGCAAGTTACAACCTTTATATACATCATACCCTCGTGCACATACGGACAAAGACCTCAGCATCTCAGCTAGCACCATTGGCACCAAAGTAGCTTGAAGATTGCTACGGAAGGTCACCAGAACCACATGTAATAAGTTGATGTTGATCCGACCCCTTCTCTGCGGGAAGACCAATAGTCCTAATAGTGCCATTGAGAAGGTGATAGAACTGGGACTCTCCCACATTGCTTGGTCAGATTGTAACTCTCCTGGATACAACTCATAGCTTTCACGGTGCCCAAATTTGTCGAACAGCTGGTCGAGGCTCACCCATCCATCTTCGATACTTCTGAGACTCCTACTATTGGCCAGGCCTAAAGCATCCAAGAACCGGTAATCGGGCATAGTAACAGGTAATATCGGCTTCCTTCCATTGAACGACAACTCTGTGAAACTCGTGACTTCCTCCAGTGTCGGTACTAACTTACAGTCGGCAAAATTTAAACACCACTTTAGTTGGGTCCCAAAATTCTATCAACAGGCGAGTGAGCACCCTGTCTGCTCGGATGTTCAGCAAAGTGGTTAGTGCCCCCAGGTGCATCCGAACCTCATCTCCATTTGCCCGACGAATAATTTCCACGACTTCTGCAACTTATGAGGCGCTACCATTACCATGTTAATCTCAGGGATGTTTCAGTTGATTTACATTTTCTGAGGTGGGTAAAAGAAAGGTGTTTGGTAAGTGTTTGCTTCATATCTTTAAGTGTCTTGTCAAATTTGTTTGTCTTTCCACAGAAATCATGTCATTGGGTGCATTACCCGTTGACATTAGGTTGGCTTTCCTAATTGTGTGTCGATGCCAAGGATCGACTCACCTAAGGTTTAGGCAGTATGACCTATTGTTGCTAGAGTAGGGTGTTTCCTACTTTTGAGTTGGACTGAAGGCTGCGAGAAGACGTGTCAGTTGACTTGACAAAGCCATTCTCTGAAACTAGAGAGATTTGAAAAGAAGGTTCGGAGGGGTGTAAAAGACAACCCTCGCACGCCATTGTGTGTGATAGTGTATGAACAAGATTCGATAGGAAAAAATGTGATGACAGTGTATATAAAGCGGTTACAGACAAGAGTGTAGCAACAATAAGTATGATAATAAGCATAGAGAGCACATAAAGCAGGTAAGCACGTAATTGCAATTTTATCTACAAATAAAGAAATGTAAAAATAAATATAGATGCCAAGTTAGTCTAAGTCTGCTAAGGTCATAACCTAAGTGAAAGTTCCCAGCAGAGTTGCCATGTTGCTGCACCCTATCTTTCACTAGTCAAAACAAAATTCAACTTGTGGTTTCTCTGTTGTTGATAAAAGAGAGTCGCCACCTAATATTTAAAAGTATACGAGGGTACCTATTTAGTTACTAAGTCATAGTTTTTATTAGTCTGCTAACCGGTGAGATTATGGATAAGAATTTTTGTTCTTCTAAGGGGACAGTGTTAGGCACCCCTTAATATCTACCTAAGGCAGTTCCATAGGACTTAGACTAGATTTGAAATCAATAATTTATACTTTGCCTTAATTAGTGTTAAGGAGTACAACTTACTATATATCTAAGTGAGAGTATGATGTTAATAAAAGGGATGTGAAACTTTAAAAAGGATGTGAATTTATAAAGGAGTCTAAAAAAATATGTTAGTGGATATAATTGAAAGAGTTTTTGAAATGTATGTGAATGGTTTATATTTATAAAGTATGTGAAAAGGGGTTATAAAACACTTGGTTTAGAGAATGGATGTTCATGTAACTCTAAGAGATATTAGTAAGAAAGTGAGCCTACGATATACCTTGGTTTCTGAAATCTTAAACATTAGGCTTGAGGAATCGTTTTGAAATCTTTGCTGGACTGTAGCACTTTAGTTTTTGAAAGAGTCGATTTTATTTTAGAAGGCTAGTCTTGCGGTTCGAATCTGATTTTGTTTTTGAAAATAAGGGCTGCTGTTTTTGCTAAGTTGTAGGGCTTCAAAATCTTGTTAAGAAAAATAGGTGAGCGAAAATATAGTATGATATAAACAAATGTAATTAGCAAAATGGGGACTAATTACTAACTAATTATTTTTTAAATCCTATATTGTTTAGGGCTTACCTATGTTTTTTATGACTTAAGTTATAACGTAAAGCATGTAATCCAATATATAAGTGTTAATTATAAGTAGGATAGAATAACAACAAACGATGTAACAAAATGCAACAAGCAGTGGACTAAACTAGCGAAGCAGTAAATAATAATAAAGGAGTTTAAGGAGAGAATTCGACTCCGGAAAATGGGCCTCAAAAAGGCAGGCCCAACAGTAAGAGACGGCTACGACTGACTTCAGACTTCCAAAAATGTAGTAGTGTTGGGCTTGGGCCTGAGTTTCATTAGGAACTCGGCAGAACCAAACAAATGTACATGTCCAAAAGAAAGAGAAGGTCATTAGATACACGTTCTATGTATTCAATCATGTATGAACCATATAAACAGATTATTAGAGCAAAAAATGTAACAAACTACCAATATTCAAATACTATAAGAAAATTATACTGATGTGGTGGTTATAAGTGGAAAATAATTTATATTGAAAACCTTTCGTTGTCATTAAACACTAAACCCCCTAAAGAACCAAAGGTGTCAATAAATTAAGGGCCAAGGAGAGAGATTTACTCAAGGTCGATGCCCTCTTTAAATCCCCCGACACTTCAAATTTCCCAAGGGTCCCAAGGCCCAAGGCAGTGCTTGTGCCGGGGAGAGCGGCCCAACCTAGAGTTAAACTCCACTCCCAAATACCCCTAACCCCTAACGACTCATTTTTCCCTATGGGTTTAGGTGCCAATGTGGCCTTTTCAATGTAAACTAAATACTATAATATTCCCTACCACAAAAGTATACCTTCCCTCCTAATAGAATAACATAAGGATACAAAAATAACATCATTCTATAACTACATTACTAATATCAAATGAAGGATACACATATTAAGTAAGTCAGATATACATGGGGGGATAGAACACTAAGCCTTACCGCCAAAGACCTTGACACTTGGGATCACATTCAAAGGATAGGTAAAGAACACACAACCCAAGCATACAGCAACCCAGAAATATAGATGCTTTTGCCTTGGCAGACTAATTATGGGTTGATTAGCTTAGGTATTTCCACTAGCACATGCACAGGCTGACTACACTTCTTGGAATTCTTAGAAGAATTAACAAGGATTCAAACAATCAATCACATCAAACAACTCTTATAGGTGTTATCAAGAATATCAGAACATGATATGGATTCTTCGTATGACTACATGCTTACAAACTCAAACATGGAACTCCTAAAGATGCTTAACAGGATCATTCTCATAAAAGTATTAATCATGAATAAACCACTATGTTCAAACAGTAGCAATAGAGAACTTCTCATAGGATAAAAAATCAGATTCAGTTCAGAATATCATGAAAGAGAGGACCGAGTACAATTTCAAAACAAAAGCATGGAGTCATGAAGCCAAACAGGGGAACATACAATATTTAAAATCAACTACACACAGATACTTTAGTGGTATTACAAAGACAAGGTAGGTTTCAAAAAATCAGCAGTGTCATAAAGGAA